TGAACGAATGAACAACAACAAGCTAATTTAAATAGAAATTAATAACGAATTACGAAATTAACGAACGAAACCGCCCAAGCCTACTATCTAGCCATGTCACCTGAGGGGAGGATGCTGGGATTTATAGTCTGAAAAAGTACATTTTCCAGGGGTGATGGGTTTTGTGTTGCCTTCCGCAATCCGTGATGATGGAATTCTCTCTCTTCGGTCCTTTTTTTCCCCAGCAGGAGATGGGATCAGGCTGGAAGACGAGGCAGGCGGCAAAGAGGCGGTGAAGGGACAACGGGCTCCAGTGCAGCGCAAACGAAAGAAGAATCCCCTTCATTCTGGGACTGGAAAGCGCATCCCTCGTGCCATGGACGCAGACCCAAAGCTGCAACCGAAGGATGATGTGCCTGTGGTGCGCCTGAAGTCCAGCCCGCCACAATGTCCCGAGTGTGGGAAGAGCTTCCTCAGCAACGTGGCTTTGACCATCCACATCCGGACACACACAGGCGAACGTCCCTTCGTCTGCCCGCTCTGCCCCAAGGGCTTCCCTTCCTCGGGGGATCTCAAGCGGCACTTCAAGACGCACCAGCGAGAGAAGGAACCCCCGACGTTGGCGTCATCCGCTTCCGTCCCCAAAAAATGCCTGACGGCTAAGCTGCAGCTGCTGCGCCAGTTGGGGGTCTCGCTGGGACCCAAGAAGCCTCACCTTTGCGAGCGTTGCGGGAAGGGCTTCAACAAGAAGCAGGACCTGCGCAAGCACTGCGGCACCCACTCGGCTGAGCGGCCTTTCGCCTGCCCCGAGTGTGGGCGCCGCTTCCGGCTGAAACAGATCCTGGTGGCGCACCTGAAGGTCCACCTGGGCGAGCGGCCATTCGCCTGTGAGCGCTGCGGGAAGCGCTTTGGCCAGAAGCACCACCTTGAGAGCCACCAGCGCGTCCACACTGGTGAGAAGCCCTTCGCCTGCACCACCTGCGGCAAGCGCTATGCCCAGAAGCAGCCTCTTATCAGCCACCTGCGCATCCACACTGGCGAGCGGCCCTTCGACTGCGCCACCTGCGGGAAGGCCTTCCGCAACCAAGCCACGCTCACCATCCACCGGCGTGTCCACACCGGTGAGCGGCCCTACCGCTGCCTCCTCTGTGGAAAGGCCTGCAGCCAGCTCCAGCACCTCAAGAGCCACCAGCGCGTCCACCGCGCAGAGCAGCACCTCCTGGCTTCCGGAGACGCCCGCGCACTGGCGCTGGAGAGGGACCGGCAGCTGCGCGAGAAGCCCTTTCCCTGCCCGCGCTGCGAGAAGCGCTTCCGGGATGAGAGCATCATGCGGGCGCACCTGGAGACCCACCGGGAGAAGGAGAAGGGCGGCTCCATCCTGAGCGCGGCAAACATGTCACTTTCTCTCCATGGAATGGAGTCGAAGAAGCCGCTCAAATGCAGGTCGGTGGCCGGCAGAGAAAGCACCAGGACTAACCCAATTCTTCCTACCCGTGGAAAACCGGCCCAGGAGTTGAAGAAGCCGGTGAAGTGCAAGTCGGTTGCCGGCGGAGAAAGCACCAGGACTAATCCAACTCTTCCTACCCATGGAAAACTGGCCGAGGAGTTGAAGAAGCCGGTGAAGTACAAGTTGGTTGCCGGTGGTGAAAGCACTAAGCGGGACCCTGTCCTGGCAAAATTGGCTCCATTGTCGGTGCCGAAATCTGCTGAATCCTCCAGAGTTAAGCCTGCAACACAAAGGGGTCCGAAAACAGGTAAACAATCGGTCACTTGCGCCGATTGCGGAAGTACGTTCACGCAAGCAAAGTATCTCACTCTGCATCGGAGGAGCCACAAGTCAGAAGATCCCAGGTCGGTTGCTGGCGGAGAAAGAGCTAATTGGGAACATCTCCTGGCAAAATTGGCTCCATTGTCAGTGCCAAAATCCACTGCTGAATCCTTCAGTGTTTACCCTGCGGAACAGAGGCCTCCGAAAACAGGTAAACAATCGGTTACTTGCACCGATTGCGGAAGGACGTTCACGCAAGCAAAGTATCTCATTCTGCATCGGAGGAGCCACAAGTCAGAAGATCCCAGGTCGATTGCCGGCGGAGAAAGCGCTAAGCAGGACCCTCTCCTGGCAAAATTGGCTCCTTTGTCAGTGCCGAAATCCACTGCTGAATCCTTTAGTGTTTACTCCGAGGAACAGAGGGCTCTGAAAATAGGTAAACAATCGGTCACTTGTATCGATTGTGGAAGGACATTCACGCAAGCAAAGTATCTCATTCTGCATCGGAGGAGCCACAAGTCAGAAGACCCCAGGTCAGTTGCCAGCGGAGAAAACGCTAAGCGGGACCCTCTCCTGGCAAAAATGGCTCCATTGTCGGTGCCGAAATCCACTGCTGAATCCTTCAGTGTTTACCCCGCGGAACAGAGGCCTCCGAAAACAGGTAAACAATCGGTCACTTGCACCGATTGTGGAAGGATGTTCACGCAAGCAAAGTATCTCACTCTGCATCGGAGGAGCCACAGGTGAGAAGAATCACGCTTGCGTCTGATGGGTTGCGTTGAAAGTCAATACTCTCCCCCTTAAGCAGAAGATGATACCTGTTGTGTTACACAGCTCTCCTCTTTGGAGGTATCTATACTGTGGAATGAATGCATTTTGTCACTACTTGAGTCACCAAAGCCTTGGCTCTGAAGAGAACTGAGGCATTAGAGGAGCCACAGGTGAGAAGACCATGCTTGCATTGGATGGGATGCGTTGAAAGCCAACACCCCCCCTTAAGTAGAAGGAGATACCTGTCATGGTATACAGCTCTCCTCTTTGGAGGCATCTACAGTGTAGAATGAATGCAGTTTGGCACCACTTGTGTCACCAAAGCCTTGGCACTGAAGAGAACTGAGGCATTAGAGGAGCCACAGGTGAGAAGACTATGCTTGCGTCGGATGGGATGCGTTGAAACCCCCTTAAGTAGAAGGTGATACCTGTCATGTTATACAGCTCTCCTCTTTGGAGGCATCTACACTTAGAATGAATGCAGTTTGGCACCACTTGAGTCATCAAAGCCTTGGCTCTGAAGAGAACTGAGGCATTAGAGGAGCGGCAGGTGAGAAGACCATGCTTGTGTTGGATGGGATTCGTTGAAAGCCAAGACCCCCCTTAAGTAGAAGGTGATACCTGTCATGTTATACAGCTACCCTCTTTGGAGGCATCTACACTGTAGAATGGATGCAGTTTGGCACCACTTGAGCCACCAAAGGACCTTCATGCAGGCAAAGTATCTCATTCTGCATTAGAGGAGCCACAGGTGAGAAGACCACGCTTGTGTCAGATGGGATGTAATGATAGGCAACACCCCCACTTAAATAGAGGATGCTACCTATCATGTTATACAGCTACCCTCTTTGGAGGCATCTACACTGGTGGCACTGGGGGTTAAACTGCTAAGCTGCTGAACTTGCTGATCAAAAGGTCAGCAGTTCGAATTCGGGGAGCGGGGTGAACTCCTTCTTTTAGCCCCAGCTTCTACCAACCTAGCAGTCCAAAAACATGCAATTGTAAGTACATCAATAGGGAAGGTAACACTACTCCGTGCAGTCATGACCTTGGAGGTGTCTATGGATAACGCCAGCTCTTCGGCTTAGAAATGGAAATGGGCACCACTACCCAGAGTCAGACACGACTAGACTTAATGTCAAAGGGAAACTTTTACCTTTACCCTTTTTACACTGGAGAATGAATGCAGTTTGGCACCACTGGCGCCGCCAAAGACTTGGCTCTGAAGAGGGCTGAGGCAGTGCAGGAGAAGCCTTACCTGTGGCCCAGGTGCGAGAAGCCCTCCAGAGGCAAGAGCATCATGCAGACGCACCTGGAAACCCACCAGGAGAAGGACCGGTCCATTCCGAGTGTGGCAAACATATAACTTCCTATCCATGGAAAACTGGTTCCGTCAACGGAGTCAAAGAAGCCACAGGTGTGTTTCTGGTGTACAGGTGTGTTTCTGGTGGAGGAAGCTGGCTTCCCGCTACACGGCAGCTCAGGGGAAAGTAATTCCCAGGAATATTTTGTGTCTTCAGTGGAGAGCTTAAGTAAATAAAGGGCGAAACTGTGCCCTTTATTGTGTCAGGTGAAACTGTGCCAGGTGACTGAGGAAGAATAACATTTTAAATTGGAATAAGACTAAGTCAGATGGGCAAGAAGATAAGGAAGTTATAGAGAAACTGTTTCAAGTGTTTATGATATTAAAAGTCAACTGTAACAATATCTACGAGTACTGAGAAGATAACATTGTGTAACCACAATGCTTTGTGTGCCTGAGAATCCTTAAATAAATATTTCTTTGTTCAATTTGTTCAATTTCTTACGACAAAGAATTGTGTCAAGTTTCTGAAATGAAGACAGCTGAAGATACTGTGTTTTCTGGTGGTCTTTGGTGACCCTTCTGACACCCCCCTGGTGACCCCCCCTTGACTTCCCAGGTTGAGAAATGCTGCCTTAATGCCACTCAGTCCAACTTCATTCACCAGGGCAAGAAAACATAATCATGTGTATGTGTGTATGTATATATATATATAGGCATGGTTAGGTTCGGTCAGAATCTTCGTAATTCAGAATAGATTTGGAAAAATTTGCTTTTTGAAGTTTTTAAGGAAACCTGCAGTCCCTTTACCCTTCCGAAGCTTTTTCCGCCATTTCTGGTACGAAGCAGTAAGTGAGTTGGAAATAATTCAGCTTTTCCCCACTTCTGGTTCCTGGTCCTGGCTGAAGCCAGAGAAGCCGTTTCAAACCAGAGTGGATGAATTTCCTCCCTTTGCTTCCTCTCCCCCCCCCCCCCCCCCCACTTCTGGAGTAAAACAACTACTTTCAAAGCAAAGACCACCCAATGAAGCAGGAAATAACACTTTCAAACCATTAAGGAAGGATTCGGAAGTCTCAGAAGTCTCAAAAAAAATTCCTGTGAAAGTCGGAATTGACTTTAGAATTGAAACACCAGCGCCCCTACATCCGAAACGAGTTTTGAACCATTTTTTTAATCAAACAAGCCATATATTCGAGGACAAAACAAGTAATTCGAGGACAAGGATTTTCACCCACTTATAGTATATGAATTGGACCTCCACCTTCGTAACTCCTCAACAGATGGCAGTACTGGCATGCGGCAGGTACTGGCTTGTTCAGTAGACTCTCCTATAGTATATGAATTGGACCTCCACCTTCGTAACTCCTCGACAGATGGCAGTACTGGTATGCGGCAGGTACTGGCTTGTTCAGTAGACTCTCCTCTACAGTTCATTTGGCAGGAAGCCTTTGCATTGAACGGTTGTGCTGTTAAAAGTGTGAAGTATGGAATTGAATGGAAGGAATGGAACTGAAAGGAAGGAAGGATGGAAAGGAAGGAAGAATAGGTGGAAGGAAGGAAATAAATAAAAGAGGGAATGGAAGGAAAGGAAATAAAAGGAGGAAAATACAAAAGGAATAAAAAGGAAGGATGGATGGAAGAGAAGGAAGAATGGAAGGAAGGAAGAGAGAAAAGAAAAGAGGGAAAGGAAGGAAGGGAATGGAAAAAAAGAAAAGAAAGGATTAAAAAGGAAGGAAGCCTGGAAGGGGAGGAAGAATAGGTGGAAAGAAAAAGAGGGAAAGGAGGGAAAGGTAATAAAAGGAGGAAAAGAGGAAAGGAATAAAGGAGGGGGGAAAAGAAAGTAATAAAAAGGAAGGATGGATGGACAAGAAGGAAAAATGGGTGAAAGAAAGGAAAGAGAAAGAAAAGATGGATTGGAAGGAAAGGAAATAAAAAAAGAGCCAAAGAAAGGAATAAAAAGGAAGGAAGGGATGGAGGATAGAAGGGAAGGAAAAATGGATGGATGGAAGGAAGGAAAGAAAGAACAGAAAAGGAAGAATTGGAGGAAAGGAAATAAAAGGAGGCAAAAGGAGAGGAAAGGAATAAGAAGGAAGGGTTGGAAGATGGAAAGGAAGGATGGGTGGGTGGATGGATGGAAGGAAGGAAGGAAAGAAAAAAAGAAAAGAAGGGAAGGAAGGGAATGGAAGGAAAGGAAATAAGAAAAGGAGGAAAATAGGAAAGGAATAAAAAAGAAAGGAGGGAAGAAAGAAAAGAAGGTAAGGAAGAAATAAAAGACTCTGTAGACATGGTGATTTGAGCGGTTTATTGCCTCTCTGTGGTCTTGCATATTTGTGAAATCATCGATGAATTCAGTTCAGAGAGGCTGAAAATGGAGAGATAGGGTGACTTTTAGGAATTCTTTCTAACTGAGCTATCTATAGGAAGGGTGGGATCCCCCCTCTTATCCACACACACTCTTGTCTGTTCGGAGGCCTTTGGGGTTCCTCCGCTCACTTTCTAGCACCGGAGGAAGGAAGCGTTAGATTTGTAAACAGCTGGGATTTGAGCATCTGAAGCAGGCATGGAGAGGTGGAGATTACAACACCCATTCTCCCCAGTGTTGCCTCTTATTGGTTCACGTATATATCTTTTGTTCTTTAATGAAACAGAAATGAAATAAAACAACCTCTTTGCCGACAATGCCTTAAAAGTCTTGTCGAAGGCTTCCATGGCCGGAATCACTGGGTTGTTGTAGGTTTTTTCGGGCTATATGGCCATGGTCTAGCAGCATTCTCTCCTGACGTTTCACCTGCATCTATGGCAAGCATCTCAGAGGTAGTGAGGTCTGTTGGAACTAGGAAAAAGGGTTTATATATCTGTGGAATGACCAGGGTGCGACAAAGGACTCTTGTCTGCTGGAGCTAGGTGTGAATGTTTCAACTGACCACCTTGATTAGCATATAATGGCCTGACAGTGCCTGGAGCAAACTTTTGTTGAGAGGTGATTAGATGTCCTTGTTTGTTTCCTCTTTGTTGTGCTGTTGTAATTTTAGATATATAAACCCTTTTTCCTAGTTTCCAACAGACCTCACTACCTCTGAGGATGCTTGCCATAGATGCAGGCGAAACGTCAGGAGAGAATGCCTCTAGACCATGGCCATATAGCCCGAAAAAACCTACAACAACCCTTAAAAGTCTCTTTCAATTCCTACCTAAGGGCGCATCTACACCGTAGGGTTAATGCAGTTCGACACCACTTGAGCTGCCATGGCTCAGTGTTGTGAAATCCTGGGAAGTTTTATCTGTAGTGTAGTTTTATCTGGTCTTGAGATAATGCTAGAGCCGTGATGATGAATCTATGACACGCGTGTCAGCACTGGCTATTTTTGATGACACGCGGCCACATGTGGCCGCATACAGAGAAGTACACCTTATAAGAACCAATCTAATTCCATCCTTAAATTTGCAAAAGGCTCTACAAATTTAACATCTGCACGTTTGAGCATTGTTCACTCCATAACTCTGCATGGAATATACATTTTTCTTATTTAAACTATAAATATTGCAAAATTATGTAGTTTTTTTCTCGAAGTTGACACCCCACCCAACTTATGCTCAGGTTTTTGGCAAATTTTGACACACCAAGCTCAAAGGGTTGCCCATCACTGTGCTAGAGCCTCACCAAACTACAAATCCCAGGATTCCATAGTATTGATCCACAAATGTCAAACTGCTTCCATTCTAGAGTGTGAGTGCATCTACAATTTAGAACTGATGTGGTTTAACACCACTTCAGAGAGCCTTGGCTCAATAGTTGTGCTTTTGCAAGATCTTTCACCTCTGCACAAGGGTGTGAGCTACAAAACTACAATTCCCTGGGTTCTGTAGCATTGATCTGTGGATGGCAAAGTGGTGCAGTGTTGTATTAACCTTCCAGTGTAGATGCACCCTGGGACTTTGCACAAAGACTTCTTCTGCATCGTGTTGCAGACGTGAGTCAGTCCTGGTTGGGGGCTTCGGCGCTGTGCGTGTGCATCTGGGACAGGAACATCCCATGCACCGCGTCTTCAAGTTTGTAGAAAGCCTGGAACATCTCCGGCGATGCCGAATGGCACTCGAAGCAGCGCCGGAGCTTGGCCAAGCTCTCCACGACCTCCGCCTGCGAGGGGCAGGGCAGCAAGGCGGATTCGTCCATCTTTTCTTCCTCCTCTTCTTCCTCCTCTTCGGCTCTGAGCCCTTGACCCTCCATCCCTCCTTCGTCCCCAAAGCACCCCAACCCTTCGTCCACCGAGATAAATTGTTTGAATTGTTCTTGGCTCTTGAATCCCAGCGCTTGGACCACTTCCGTAGACGGAGTCGGGAAGATGTCGGGATTCGGGACAAAACCGGCTGCCAGGAAGCCACCCCTGATGGTCTCCGGACCCACCTCTGACCACGCTTGTATGGACAGGTGTATGGCGTCTGAAAGGGCCATATGACCTTTTGACCCAGAGGTCCGGCCACCCAGCGCCACGACCAGGCGGGTGAGCATCCGCCTCCGGTAGTGGCACCGAAAGGCCCGGCTCGTCCCGAGTTCAAGCGGGTGATTCTCATGGCGCGGCACAAAGACCATCTTCACGTTGGAGAGGTCGACCACAGGGTGTGCAGCGCAAGGCGTGACAAGAAGTGCCAGGTGCCTCTGCCCGGCTTTGGCCTCTTCGTTGAAGGCCCAGAGCCATTCAGCAAAGAGGGCGGCGGTCATCCGGGCTTGACCTTCGGCTCTGTACGTGGCGGGGGGCAGCTCCTGCGGGACCCCGAAAGCGGGGCATCCCTTGCCGACGATCAGAGGGTCCCGCTTATCGGAAGAGTCCATGTTGGCACAAAGCAGGACGGTGAGCCGGTCCTTAGCATCTTCCTTCCTTGGCGTTGCCCGAAGAAAGAGGGTGACTTCGGCACAGGCGTATATTTCGGACGGATCGTATTTCCGTAGGATGTCGGGGAGGACGGTGTTTTTCCAACTACGGTCCTCCGCTGGCTCACTGTTCTGTTTCTCGGCGTTTTCCCAATGCTGCTCCTCTGTCGCCTCGGTGTCCTGTTTCCGGTGGGCTTTCGGCTTGGCTTTCGAGCCGTTCGCCCAACTCAACGGCAGCCTCCCGACGGCGTCCGACAAACGCCGGGCTTTCTCTTGGAGACGCAGTCCATTGATCGACACACCGAACCACTGTGTTGCACCGTCGCTGCATTGCGGGAGCCTCTCCTCCATCTTCCGTTTGCGCCCGGGGTCACCGTTCTTGCCCCACTCGGCCAGGATGCGCTCCTTGTTCTTGATGATGCGGCAGATCTGAGGCTGGGAGACCCCAAAGCGTTTCGCCAGCTCGCTCTGGGAGACTTTGGGGCCTTCCAGCATCTCCAGCACACGGACCTTCTCCTGCAGGGAGAGCTCCTTGCGCTCCTTGCGCGGCACGGCACCCTCGCTGGGAAGAACTCTCCGGCGACACCCGGAGTGATGCAACGGCGAGGGGCCCGGGGCCCGTCCGGTGTGCGAGGCGCGGTCCACGAAGCTCCGTCCGCAGTCGCCGCAGATGTACGAATGCCGACCGGCGTGATGATGCGAGGCGTGCTTCTCCATCTCCGCTCTCTGGCCAAAGTTCCTGCCGCACTCCAAGCACCAATGCGGCACCTCTTCCGCCGCGGGAATCCTGCAGATGCCAAAGGAAGGGGGCCCTCGGGGTCCGGCACCCACTTTGCAGCCTGTCCTTTGCGCTCCGTCGCCAACTGATGGACTCTGACGAAGGAGGCCGTTCCCTCTGCCTTTACCTGTCTTCGGGCGCAGCTCCAAGCATCCCTCCCCGTCTCCGTCTCCGTCTTCTTCCTCCTTCATCCCTTTTGGAGGCTGGTCCTCTCCTAAGGAAAAAGGAAGCCATGGAAAGAGTTATTTACCTGGCCCCTACGAGCATGGCTAGGCCAACTTGGGCTCTCTCTCCAGGTGTTTTGGACTACAACTCCCACAATTCCTAACAGCCGGTATGTATACATATGTATACATACATACATACATATACACGTATACATATGCACACACACACAACCACATATATATCTCCCTCAATGGATTGTCACCTTGTTGCAGTGTGGGGTGTATATATACACACACAAACACTCACACATATACATATGCACACACACACATACACACACACAACCACATATATATCTCCCTCGATGGATTGTCACCTTGTTGCAGTGTGGGGTGTATATATATATACACACACAAACACTCACACATATACATATGCACACACACACATACACACACACAACCACATATATATCTCCCTCGATGGATTGTCACCTTGTTGCAGTGTGGGGTGTATATATATATCACACACACACACACAACGACATATATATCTCCCTCGATGGATTGTCACCTTGTTCCAGTGTTTGGTGTATATATACACACACAAACACTCACACATGTACATATGCACACACACACACACAACCACATATATATCTCCCTCGATGGATTGTCACCTTGTTGCAGTGTGGGGTGTATATATATATATGCACACACAAACACACACACACACACAACCACATATATATCTCCCTTGATGGATTGTCACCTTGTTGCAGTGTGGGGTGTATATATATATATACACACACAAACACACACACACACACACAACCACATATATATCTCCCTCGATGGATTGTCACCTTGTTGCAGTGTGGGGTGTATATATATATATATACACACACAAACACACACACACACACACAACCACATATATATCTCCCTTGATGGATTGTCACCTTGTTGCAGTGTGGGGTGTATATATATATATACACACACAAACACACACACACACACACAACCACATATATATCTCCCTCGATGGATTGTCACCTTGTTGCAGTGTGGGGTGTATATATATATATACACACAAACACACACACATATACAAAGCAGAATATTATTATTATTATTTATTATTATTATTAACTTTATTTGTACCCCGCTAGCATCTCCCGCAGGACTCGATGCGGCTTACACAGGCCGAAGCCTCAAACACAATACAATAGAAAACATAACACAACAATAACAAAGCAAATCAAAACAATAAGCAAAATAACGACAATGGCAAAACATCAAGACACTATTAAAAACTGGATCGGCCAGCGCAATGGGGTACAGGGTTAAAAGTGCTGAGATGGCAGGAGGAACGTAGGATTAAAGTGCGGTGTGCAGCCACATTAGTTGTGCCAAGGTGCATCTAGGACTTAGGATGGGGATTCCTAATCTGCGAAGGCACATCGGAACAGCCAAGTTTTTAGGTTCCTTTTGAAAACTGCTAGAGTAGGGGCCTGACGGAGCTCTTTTGGAAGGGCATTCCAAAGTCGGGGGGCCGCCACAGAGAAGGCCCTGTCCCGCGTCCCCACCAAGCGCGCTTGCGACGCAGGTGGGATCACGAGCAGGGCCTCCCCAGATGACCGGAGCGAGCGTGTGGGTTCGTAGGTGGAGATGCGGTCACGCAGGTAGGGTGGTCCCAAACCGTTCAGGGCTTTGTAGGTGAGCACCTGCACCTTGAATTGGGCTCGGAAAATAAATGGCAGCCAGTGGAGCTCCTTAAACAGAGGGGTAGACCTCTCTTGATAATGAGCTCCAGTTAGCATCCTAGCTGCTGCCCGCTGGACCAATTGAAGTTTCCGAGCCGTCTTCAAGGGCAGCCCCACGTAGAGCGCATTGCAGTAATCCATTCTAGAGGTGACCAAGGCGTGGACCACCCCGGCCAGATCAGCCTTCACGAGGTACGGTCGCAGTTGACGCACAAGTCTCAATTGTGCAAAGGCCCTCCCGGATACCGCCGACACCTGAGCCTCAAGTGTGAGCGAGGAATCCAGGGACACCCAAACTGCGGACCTGTGGCTTCAGGGGGAGTGTAACCCCGTCCAACACAGGTTGCCACCCTATACCCCGATCTGGTTTACGATCGACCAGGAGGACCTCTGTCTTGTCGGGATTGATCTTCAGCTTGTTCCTCCTCATCCAGATAGACACAGTGGCCAGGCACTCGTCCAGCACCCGAGAGGCCTCCTTGGAGTTAGGTGGAAAAGAGTAGTAGAGTTGTGTGTCATCTGCATAGAGATGGCACCCAACTCCAAAACTCCGGATGACCTCTCCCAGCGGTTTCATGTAGATGTTAAAAAGCATGGGAGATAGAATAGAGCCTTGCGGGACCCCACAGGTCAAAGGCCAGGGGTTCGAGCAGGCATCTCCCAGCTTCACCATCTGGGTTTGTCCCTCCAGGAAGGACCGGAGCCACGACAGAACCGTGCCCCCGAGACCCATCCCAGAGAGACGACCCAGAAGGATACCATGATCGATGGTATCGAAAGCCGCTGAGATGTCCAAGAGAACCAGCAGAGTCACACTCCCCCTGTCCAGCTCTCTGCGGAGGTCATCCACCAAGGCGACCAAGGCTGTCTCAGTGCCATGACCAGGCCTGAAACCAGACTGTGACTGATCTAGGTAGTTGGTATCGTCTAAAAAGCTCTGGAGCTGGGAGGCGACCACCCGCTCTAGCACCTTACCCAGAAATAAGCAAAGGTGATGTGATTCTCTTGGGTCACTCAAAATTGAATTCTGCTCAGTTGCTCACTTCTGAGATGAACCACAATCTTCTAGAAGTTTAACCCTTGCTTCATGGTGCACTC